CAGGCTCTATCAGACCAGCAAACCTGGTCCCTTTTTTTTCTTTTTAAGTGATTTTGAGTTTCATTTCACATTGTTCTCCACTCTATCCAGGATCTCCTACATAGATCCCCCTCTGAGTGGTTGACAGTGGTAGTTGGGCACCATCTAGTTATTCTGGTCTCATAGTCGTATAGGCTGCGGATTGAATGGTGTACCAGTTGCTTGGACTAATTGTTTCCATAAATCTTTGGTTTTCTTCATTCTTCTTTGCTCTGGATGAGAAGAGACCCATCACTGCATCTAGATAGCTGCTTTCAAGCTTTTAAGATCCCAGTTGCTACTCGCCAAAGTGGGATGTGGAACAATGTTTTTGTGTAGTATGTTATGCCAATTGAGCTTGATGTCCCCTGTGACTATAGTCCCGAGCCCACAGGTCCAATTACTTGCTCCCACTGGGTAGCTGTCTGTGGCCAAGTGACTACACCCTTGTCCCTTGTCAGTTCTACTATGTACTGGGAATTCTTACAGAACATCCAAATACACTTGTAGAAACATTGTCTGCCAATGCTATGCATGGTCTTGGGCACACTTCCCCCTGCACAGACATACCTAATAGTTCAGCCTGTCCGCCCATCTATCCACTCGTAGATCAATGTTTGTCTTCACTGACAACTCAGTACTGTGTGTGCAAAAGGGTTCATCTTTGTTGTCTGTACCTCCCATGCACCTCATTTTTGGGTAGAGATTTCTTGATGCAGGTGAGATGGATCCAAGGTTTCACTCTCACCGATTTCACTGTGGTGTGAGTGGTCGGAGAGTGGAATAAGGTCTTTTCTGCTTCAGTGAAGAGGTTCATCTTCCCAGGTTCCTGGGACTTGCTTCCCTGGAAGGAAGTGATGAGCAAGAACGTCAAGGGAATATTTCTGTCATAAGAGAGAGAACCTGTGAATAGAAGAAAGCACAGAAGACAAACCCTCCAATTAAAGTGGATTCCCTCATTCTACGATACATATAAACCATCATTGAGTTGATTCTGAGTCATATCAACACTTTAGGATAGAGTAGAACTGCCCATAGGGTTTCCAAGGCTATCAATCTTTACAAAAGCAGACTGTTGGTGGGTTCAAACTGCCAACCTTTTGGTTAGCACCCAAATGCTTTAACCACTACACCACAGAACGCCTCTGTTTACATATAGTTCACTTCTATTTGTCAACCTATGGCTTCTGGAAAAGGACTGGCCAAATAGGATCTCCAATGGGTTCAGCTTTAATTTA